ATGATTTTTCCGCGAAGGATTCCTTTAAGAACACTTGACTTACTCGCAAAAGTGCTCAGCAAAGTGCGCAGTGATTACAAGGAACGTAGCTCAATGGGTTTTTTTTCGCACGATTACATTAGTTTCTTTGAGCGGCATTCGTTTAAAAAAGGCGATCCTCGCAGGCTACTAAAAGTGCCTTTCTGATCGTGCTAGAAGGGTGTAGCTGTTTGGTAGCATACCGCTGCATTATCTCTATCGACCCGAGCAGTTATGATTCTTCACCAACGCACGATATACTCCGTTGCAGATTCAGACAAGATCATCTTTATACGAATCTTTGTCTGCTTAAGGGCACAGTCTATTAGATGAAGATGCTTAAAATCATGTATATAAAAATTGTCGCCTTGTTTGGAAACTAGCAGGTCATCAAACGCATAGCGTTCACACCTTCGGGCACAAATATGTGGCTGGGTGCAAACAGAGCAATTTCATAAGAAAAAGCTCGTACAGCTTTGATGGAGGTGGCGAACAAGATTTATCCGTTCAGGAATGCAGTCAAACATGCTTAGCATGCTTCGGTTGGACTTCAAAGAAGCTCCACATATGAGGCATTTCTGTTTTATTTAGTCAACTCATTAGATAGAAGCAAATGTTGGATGTGAGATCATTTGCATGCCTGCAGGCTTAATCTGGAATCGAACACTGACGTCAGTGGTCTAACTTGAGATCCGGAAGCGCTTGTCAACAACATCAAAAATTTCACTCATATGGCGGGGTTGCATCAAAAACGTCCTCTTGGGTTGTAAATTATTTGCAAAAATAATGCAGAATTAGTCGAAAAGTAAGGTGCATTTTTTTGAAGTGCATCTCCCACTTTTTTGACAGAATCTCCGCAATGACGAAACAGTTTGTCGTTTTAATCGTCCGTTTCATCGTCAGTAGCTTAGTTTCCTTTATCTCAAAGATTAAGGAATTGTGCTACTTTTGGTCGACCAGCCCACACTCGCTTTGGAGAGAACCCGGGGAGAGGAGGGCAAGCGTTGCATTACGATTTCAGCAATGCCTCGTTACAGGCGGAAAAGAGCAATATCAGCTTAAGCGGAAATCATGCTATACTTGTCCTACGTGAGTACAAACGAGCTCAAACCGAATGCTGCTCATTCTGATCGTAGAATCAACGAAGCGTGTGATGAAGGCACGGTTGCAGAGAAGACTGTTCGAGAACGTTGTTGATTGAAGATTTGTTATTGTTTTTGTTTGGTTTGTTAACACACCTGGTTATGAAATGAAAACGGCGGATAATTTCCGCTGATAGAATTCTAGCAGTAGTGAGGTTTGAGTAATAAGAACGCTGAGGCAGGGGGTTTGTTCCCTGTGGACCAAACAGTCACTTGAAGAATCCTTCACGGAAAACCCTTGCATTTTTTCCAACATGAATGTTATGTATGTCAGTTGTGATCATATATATCAGTTGTGATCACTAGAGACAATACACAAAGTTTCACGCATGAAGATTCGGTTTCCGAAGAGAAACAAACTCACAAAAACCACACTCTATGGACAATCGAAGGTAAGCCGCGCGGAGCCAAGGCGGGGGCATGGAAGGAAGTGCGCCTTCTTACGCTTGCTTGACGATATCGTTACAGGACCTGGGTTGCTTGTTTGTTGATCATTGCTCAGTTGCTTTTGTTTTTTTCATATACATTGAGGACGGGGTAACGCATTCCACTTTGCACACTTCGTGGGACACTGTGACGCGGTAACGCGTCCCACCCAAGTCATCCCTTTTTCTTGCGCTTGCGCGACTTATTCCTAAGTTCTTTGTACTCATTCTATAGATCATACATTAACATAACTATAAAAGCTGTGGTCCATGAAATGGTTAGATATGCTTTAGTTAAGCAAGCTTTTCTGAGCCTCAGTAGTTCTCTTTTATCTTCAGCTCCAACTTTTATTATTGAATAAGCAAGCGAATAATATAGTCATACGAAAATATGAATACATTTGTTTTCAAGATAAAAATAACGCTACGGATGATAAGATCTGTGTACACCACTGAAACATTCAATCCAAAGGGATTTATTACATCTACTGCAACATAAGTTGATTCTCCTAGCTTTTTTTACGGTAGTAGTCCGCCGGTTCTCTTTAGAAAAGGGTGCATAACATCTAAAACACCCTTTCCTGTTAAGCCCTCTCGAACCTTTTAGAGATTCTTCCAGGTCATGAAGCGTTCAGCTGGACTGAGAAGTTGAAATGTGGTCACGTTCAACCTTCAGCAATGATTTGACGACCTCTAATTTGAATCATTCGGCCAAATACTCCCAAAGCTTTTATAACATTTTGTATTCGTATTTATTTTGTGTTTTGTATAATTCCATCTGATCCCCCTCACACCTCCATCTGAGCTCTTGTTTCGTTGCATTCGGAGTTGAGTTCCGGAAAGAGCACCTCGTGGGACGGCGGTTGGAAGTCAATGAACTAGCGGCTGCCAAGTAGCTAATATTCCATAGTGAACAAAGCGAAAGTGCGGGTACGTCAACGGTGTCGTGAAGGATAAGTCTTTTTCTGTTAAAAAATTGAAGAGGTGTGGATGAAAAGCGAGTGTTCTTCAATAGAAATTAGAACGCTTTAGTCTTTAGAGTCCAAGATATATGCGTAAGTTTACTCTGCAGGTAGAATCGGATGCAATCAAATGGTAAAAGTGATAAGGCAATAAAAAAAGTTTCGTAGTGTAAAGCGATTATATTTGGACATTACTCAAAATATGGAAAGCGATGGAAGCGTGAAACTGTGTTGCCTTAGAAGTTATCATTGATGCTACGGAATTCCTTTGTGCTGAATTTCACTAAAGCATGTTGTAGCCTTTTCTCAGGCGCAATATATAAATTGTTTTGAAAAAGCCAATAACATAGCTTTTTTGTAGTTGGCACAATTCGACTCATATGAATATTGTTTTCCTGTTCTGAAAACATAGCGGCATGATTGTGGCATGATATATAGCAAAACTTAACTAAAACAAAGTCGTGGCGCATCATGATCACCACGACTTTCTATCACGGTTTTAATCGAGTACGTGACGTATTTTGGGGCTATGTTGAAATCCATCTTCGATCAGGATATAAACGTAAATGTACAGGATCGTATATGCGGGATTACATACGCACGACATACAAACAATTACTTCTCGGGGCAAAACTCGAGAGCGTGGCGCAGCCATAGACGAAGCTCTTTTAAGACATGAAGGCAGCTTCTCATAGCTTCTCTTCCGAAGCAGAAGCAGCTTCCCGAACTCCTCAATAAGTGAAAATCAACGGTTTCCTCCTTTTCGGAAAAACTCAACGTTAAACTAACCTATAAGGAAAAAAAACGAAAAATAAGCAAAAT